CAGGCTAGGTGGGTGGGGCCTGCTGCGCACTGGGGCACCCCACAGAACAAAACAGGGGAACGGGGGGGGGGGCGGCTTTGTCAGGACCAAGGCCAGGGACCCAGGGTGGGAGTGGTGCAGGACGGGTTTCCCAAAGGAGGCAGTGGGAGGAGACAGGTCTTGGAGGTGAAGGGGCCTAGGAAGGGGGTTCCTCTGGAGGCTGTTGCCATGGAAACGAGGCAAGAACAAAAAGCTAATTACAACGCCGCTGGGGCAGCCTCGTGGCTGACATATAAATTGCAACTTCTTCTCTAGGGTGGAGGTGACTTGGACGGGGTGGAGGGGTGGTACCAGGGAGACTCCCTAATCACCTGAAGAAACAGCTGTGCCTGCCCCAGGAAGGGGGCTGGGGGAGGGGGAGGCCTGGGGGATGATGGCCTCAAATCAAATCAGGACTCCCGGGGCAGTCGCTGACAGCTGCCCCGGCCAGTTGGGAGGGGTGGAGGGCTCATTAATGTGGTCACAGGGGCCAGGCCTGCCCTGAACATCTGCTCCTCGGAGGGTCAGGGGTCACTGGGGGAAGGGAGGGCAGCCCTGAGTTCTGCCTGAGCCTGGGGGAGTGGTGATCTGGTTATACACCCCTCCTCCCTATGGCCTGGACAGACACATATCAAGCAAAGGCAAGTCCACGCCCCGAGCTGTAGCTGCGGTGGAGGGAGGGCTGGGGGGGGGGTGGGGGTCCTGGTGGCTAGGCCTCTCCCACCCTACCCCATGAGCAGGCCTGAGGCATGCCCCGCTGCTGCCAGCCGGGGTGGCAGGAGGGGGAGGGAGGAAGGCAGAGCCAGTAGCCTGAGTGCTGGACAAGTGTCCTTGGCTGAGATTTTTTTTCCTGCTTCTTAGAGGTGTGGCCTCCTGGGTTTGCTCATTATTTTTTATTCCTTTTGGGTTGATTTTCTTACTTTATGTTGTTTTAAAAATTAGTATCTGATCCTTTCTAACAATTCAAACCAGAGAGAGGTGGATTTTGTGGGGAGAGGAGCTATTTCTTTCTTTTCCGCCTTTTTTGGTGACCAGTGACAGCAGTTGAGCATCTTCCTTCTGGCCTCCTTGTCCTCGAAAGTCTCCAGAGACCCAATTGAACAAAGTGCTCAAAGCCCCCGGGCCAGGCCCAGCTGGTGCTGCCGTCTGCCCTGTGGACAGGCGGTTCATTGGCGGTTTCTGTCTCCTGATCCCACGGTGGCTGTGGGCGCCCTGGTGAAGGGGGCGGGCGAACTTTTCCTTCCCATCACCAGCAGCGACTGGCCCATGGGCAAGGGCGGCAGCTCTAGCGAGGGGCCTGGCTGTGGGGGATGGAGAGGGGTCAGGGCGATTGGGGCCAGGAGAGAACACACCTCTCCTGAGCGGTAGCTTGCCGGCATTACACTCACGACAACGATCACGATCGCTGCGTATTGACCACTGTGCCTGCTGTTCAGGCCCAGCGCCTCCAACACGTGCGGTGAGATAGGGGATCGCCCTTCCCCCAGGGGTCGCTCCGCGAAGTGGAGGCACCGCCCAGGAGGGACAGGGCAGGGGTCGGAGTCTAGGTCTGCTCGGATCCATTAGGGTGGGCGGGAACGCCCCCTCCCACCGACGCCACACAACAGGCGGATGAATCCGGGGACCCCATCCTTCTCCTCTGGGGTGCAGGGCCATCCAGGAGCCTTTGTCTGCGCCCCCTTCTCTCGGCCGCTGGGCGGAGCCTCGGAGGGGCGGGCCCTGGCCCTGACCGCCAATGGGGGGAGGGATTTCCTGCTTTCCCTGAACCCGCCTCCTAAATGGGTCACTGTAGCGCTTGCTGTGCTCGGGGCTGGGAGGGGCTTCGAGGTCCTGAAAGGGTTTAACACCCGTGAGTCGGCAAACCCTCCCTCCGCGGAGCCGCGTCCCCCCACTTGCCGTACCGACGCCTCCCGGGCCCCCGAGCGAGGACGCGGCAAAGGATCAGCACCACGGACAGCGCAAAGGGCGCGGGGGTCTGACGTAGGAGCCACGGCCAGCACCCTGGGTTGGATCCAGGCGCCCTCTGGCAGTTTTCTCAACTGCAGTGATGGTCATGAGTATTTCTTCTTTAATTTACAAAGTTGTATTTTATTATTGGTTAAATATCACATAATATATTTTACTAATACACTTATTATAAGTCACATTTTTTATTAGTTTTAACCACAAAAGCAATTAATATAGTCTTCTAAAAAGTTGAAACATTGCAGATGAGTGTCCATTTAGCCACCTCATGCTCCTAGGTCCTGCTGTCCTGGGGGGACAGTTTTGTTTTCCATTCTTCCAGCCTGTTTTCTGTGCATGTGCATCTATCTATATATATATCTTTGTAGAAAAAATGTAACATCTTTTTGAAGTTCCCTTTTTTATTCTACATATCATTATGCAGTGTGCCTTTCCCTCAAGGATGTGTCTCGGGGATGTGCTCATATCAGTGACGATATTTTACTGCACCACAGTATCCCAAAGTATACTGATTTTTAAAAACTTTTATTTTTGTTATCTGTGCATATGGCTTTACAGATTTAAATAGCATCTAACCTTTTAACTCAATGAAGCCACTATTTGCTGAATGCATCAAGCCTTATGCTAACCCCTTAAGGAGGATACTATTATTGTGTCCACTTTACAGATGAGAAAACTGAGGTCTCAGGAGAGAGAGTCACTGGCACACACTGACTGGTGCTGGTATCTTGTCCATCACCTCCTGGAGGACCATGCTTTCCAGAGATGCATTTTCAGTAACTCTCTGTGGATGTGTTGATGGCAGGGTGACTGACTCACTCCCTCCTGGCCCCACACTTGCTGTCTCAAGCTCATCACTCTTCTGCAGGGGCTGTGGTGTCCCTGAAACCAGAGGTCTGGGGTGTCTCAGAGCTCTGGGGACCAAGACCCTAGCTCCCGCTTTCATGTAGGCCTCGGGCTGAGGAGGCCATGAAGATCCAAGTAGTGGTAGGAAGCTCTGATCGGGCCCTGAATGTCTCAGTGACATTTCTGTGTGTTTATTTTTTCTAATTACAAAATTAACACACACAATGTAAAAAGAACAGTTAACAATGACAAAACGGGGAGTAAATCCCCTACCCTCACTGAGTGACGACCTCTGATAACAGCCTCTCTGGATGAACTGCCAAGATTTTTCTATGCATTTTATAATAATGATAACACTGTTGATAATGATCAGTTTTAATTTTTTATTTATTTTTTAAAAATATTTTTTATTAATTTGAGAAAGAGAGAGTAAGTGAGAGCACAAGGTAGGGGGGGGAGTTCAGAGGCAGAAGGAGAGGCAGATTCCCCGCTGAGCAGGGAGCCCTGATGTGGGGACTCTGGGATCACAACCTGAGCCGAAGGCAGACGCTTAACTGACTGAGCCAACTAGGCGCCCCTAATTACCAGAGTTTTAAAAAATATTTTCTAACTAATCTTTTGTTATTGTTTAGAAATTAACATGTGACAATTCCAAAAGAGCCAAAGGGTATACAGTGAGAAGAACTTTCCCCCAACCCAGACCCACATTCCCAGGCCCAGGTCCTTGGAACGGACACCTTTGTGCCTGTTAGAGACATCTATATATAGATAAATATGTGAAAACTGGATTCTAACTGCTTTTTTCACGGAGCCGTCTTTTTGCCAGCACATGACTCACATGTAGAGTCCTGTTGTTTCTCGAGGCCTTCATACCATTCATCTTCTGAAAGTCACTCCAACCCTGAGGAGCAAAGGGGAGGGGCACTGGGAAGTCACGCAGTGTGTGACTAATGACCCTCCCTCATGGGCCTACTGTGCTCCACACAGCTTGGAAATGCCCTTGGGGTGAGGGCCAAGCTCTGTGCAGCCTTCCCTTCACCCAGGGGATGTGTCTTTGTGTGCTGACATATATGCACACATTCACATGCTTCCCATGATCAGCTCGCTTTATTCCCACAAAGACTTGTTTCACCATCAGGCCTATTGAACAGATGAGGGCCCTGAGGCACAGAGAATCTTCAGGACCTGCCCAGGGTCACACAGCTGGGAAGAGGTGGTCCAACTCCTGAATGTAGGCCCTGTTCTGTGCTTTTGTGCTCTGGAGCCGATTTTGAGAAGCGCTGTGGGTCCCAGCCCTAGGGGGAGTAGGGTGGGTGGCAGCAGGTGGTGGAGAGAGTGAACCCTGGGAGTCTGGGCTGTGCCAGCTCTTTGCGGACAGGTTGGGTGAACCAGGCAAGTCATTCCCTACTCAGGCTCCCCGTGGTTCCCATTGGCTGAGGCTGATGATGTGCTGGGCCCTGCCAGACCCTGTCTCTGGACATCTTTTACCCGGACACTGAGGGGCACGTGTATCCTGGGCTCTGTCTCTGTCACTTACTGTAGGCAGCTCTTTGCCTTCTCCGTGCCTTGGTTCTTTCATCTGAAAAGAGAGAATAAAGAAAACCACCCCAAGAGGGTGTTTATTACTAACCCCTCATGGAGGAGTGGACTGTCCAGGGCTCCTGGTTAGCAAGTGCAGAGCTGAGTCTGGGGGACCTGGGTCTGTGTCATCTGAGCCCTGAACCACTCTGAGGGCGCCAGGCACCATGAACGTATAGACAGTGGATGTGCATATTTACTATGATGATTTTCTTTTTTTTTTATTAAGATTTTATTTATTTATTTTACATAGAGAGACACAGCGAGAGAGGGAACACAAGCAGGGGGAGTGGGAGAGGGAGAAGCAGGCTTCTCACCAAGCAGGGAGCCCGATGCAGGGCTCGATCCCAGGACCCTGGGATCATGACCTGAGCCGAAGGCAGATGCTTAACGACCGAGCCACCCAGGCACCCCTACTATGATAATTTTCTGACAGATGACAGAGCTTGGGGCTTTTCTCTGAAGTCACTCAAAGGGGCTAGTGCAAGCTTTGAGTCCAGGCCCCTAATTTGACACCCAGGGCTGAGTTCATGGGAGGGAAGGGCCTGGTGGGGGTCATAAGCACCTGCTGACCCTTCCTTTCCCCCCTGCAGTTCTGGGAGGTCATCAGTGACGAGCACGGTATAGACCCCAGTGGCAACTATGTGGGGGACTCAGACCTGCAGCTGGAGCGCATCAGCGTCTACTACAACGAGGCCTCTTGTGAGCTCCCACCCTGCCCCCATGCTTGATCTGGGAGGAGGGAGGAGAGGGCACCTTGACTGCTGGGTCTCAGCATCTCTGCCCTCCTATCAGTTGGTTGGCAGGTGTAACCCAAGATAAAGATGAGGAACCCTAGAAACTGCCACCATAGTGAGATTCAAATATGTGTAATCCTCACATGCATAGTCTAGGGGATGGACAGGGTTGGGCAGGGTCCTGGAGGCTCCTCAGGAAGCCCATGGGAGGGTCCAGAGCGGAGGTCACTTAGCCACTGGTGTAAGATTATGTCCATAGCGAACTGGAGAAATATTAACCTGCCCCCGTGGATGTATTATGTGGTCCTGGCTGTCTAGGGTGTTGACCATGATCCCCATTTCACACGTGGTTCCAGCCTCTCTGACCCCAGAGTCTGAGCGCTTATGGTGACAGCATGACTCTGGCAGGCCAGGGCAGGATTTAGAGGGCAGGAGTAGCCCCTGACCCTCTGTGACCCACATAACCCACCCCTTTCCCCTCAGCTCATAAGTATGTGCCTCGGGCCATTCTGGTGGACCTTGAGCCCGGAACCATGGACAGCGTCCGATCTGGGGCCTTTGGGCACCTTTTCAGGCCTGACAACTTCATCTTCGGTAAGTTTCCCTTGTCCCACACTCTGATGCAGACCCCATCACGGGCAAATCCAGATCAGCAGAAACGACAGGGCAAAGTCACCCCTTAGCAGGACAGAACTGACCTTCCCGTTCTGCATTTGGTAACAGAGGCCCAGAGGAAGGGTTCTGCACAGGGCAGAACAATGTGTGAAACAGAGAATTGAGCGTAGAGGACTGTTACAGAGCTGGCAGGACAGGAGTCAGTCTCCAGAGGATTCAAGTTCACGGGCATGCAGCACTGCTGTCATCAAGAGGGCATCACCCCATTTCTGTCTTCTGGAGCTCAGCACCCCCAATTGATGGGCACCAGTCCACATTCAGACCCCAAGCGGCAAGGGATTCTGGGGTTCTGGGGGCTATAGTTGGCACTTCCAGCATGACCAGCCGGCGGCTGGAGGGTAGGGCTGGTAGACTCACCCAGAACCCCCCAAAGAGAGGCAAAGCCGGGTTCTCAATTCCTGTCTAGAGCCCTTACTACCCGGCACCAGGCAGTGAGGTCCACCACCCGCAGCATGGCTGGCGTGGAGGGTCATGGAGGGAGTGAGAAGGTGTGGGCACCCTCATTTCACAGAGAGGAGACAGAGCTTCCACAGTTGCTCTCTGGTATGGCCCCTGTTCAGGCAGGCGCTGTAGGTCTGACTGGTCTGTGTCCCCCTCCTGCTGCCCCCGCACCCCCACAGGTCAGAGCGGGGCCGGCAACAACTGGGCCAAGGGTCACTACACGGAGGGTGCTGAGCTGGTGGACTCCGTCCTGGACGTGGTGCGGAAGGAGTGTGAGAATTGCGACTGCCTGCAGGGCTTCCAGCTGACCCACTCGCTGGGCGGGGGCACGGGCTCGGGCATGGGCACGCTGCTCATTAGCAAGGTGCGTGAGGAGTACCCGGACCGCATCATGAACACCTTCAGCGTGGTGCCCTCGCCCAAGGTGTCGGACACGGTGGTCGAGCCCTACAACGCCACCCTGTCCATCCACCAGCTGGTGGAGAACACGGACGAGACCTACTGCATCGACAACGAGGCCCTGTACGACATCTGCTTCCGCACGCTCAAGCTGGCCACTCCCACCTACGGAGACCTCAACCACCTGGTGTCGGCCACCATGAGCGGCGTCACCACTTCCCTCCGCTTCCCGGGCCAGCTCAACGCCGACCTGCGCAAGCTGGCCGTGAACATGGTGCCCTTCCCGCGCCTGCACTTCTTCATGCCCGGCTTCGCGCCGCTCACGGCCCGCGGCAGCCAGCAGTACCGTGCGCTCACCGTGCCCGAGCTCACCCAGCAGATGTTCGACGCCAAGAACATGATGGCCGCCTGCGACCCGCGCCACGGCCGCTACCTGACGGTGGCCACCGTGTTCCGTGGGCGCATGTCCATGAAGGAGGTGGACGAGCAGATGCTGGCCATCCAGAGCAAGAACAGCAGCTACTTCGTGGAGTGGATCCCCAACAACGTGAAGGTGGCCGTGTGCGACATCCCACCCCGGGGGCTCAAGATGTCCTCCACCTTCATCGGCAACAGCACGGCCATCCAGGAGCTGTTCAAGCGCATCTCGGAGCAGTTCACCGCCATGTTCCGGCGCAAGGCCTTCCTCCACTGGTACACGGGCGAGGGCATGGACGAGATGGAGTTCACCGAGGCCGAGAGCAACATGAACGACCTGGTGTCCGAGTACCAGCAGTACCAGGACGCCACGGCCGAGGAGGAGGGCGAGATGTACGAAGACGATGAGGAGGAATCCGAGGCTCAGGGCCCCAAATGAAGCCGCTGGAGGGGCGGAGCCAGGATGCGGCTGTGGCCAAGAGGCCTGTCCCCCGGAGCCCCGTCGCCATTGACACCGCCCCCAGCCTTGCCCCCGCCAGCTCCGGCCATGGCACCCCAGGGCTCCCGAGTGCTTGTCCTCCAGTATTTACGGCATCCCCACCCCACGTGAGTCCTGTCTTCCCTCCATAGGTCGGGTCCACTTCTGTGTCTGCTTTATTGTCAGCTCCAGGCCTGTTTTATGGTTTGTTTTGTTTTCTTTTGTTTTTTTTACTGGTTTGTGTTTATATTTTGAAGGGGGGATACTTAATAAATCTATTGCTGTCAGATATCCCTGCCTGGTGCTGGAGATTTCTTTTTATTCTGGAAAGTTGGGTCCAGAGGGGTGAGGAGGGACAGACAAGGAGGCCCTGGGAGGGGGGTGAGGGGGAGGAAGGGTCACTGTCTCCCAGGCTGGTGGCTGTGCTTGAAGCCTGTGGGTTCTGAAGGCACAGCTGCTGGGAGCTTCCGGAAGTGGGGTCCTGGGGTTGGGCCATGCCCAGATGAAGCCTCATCCCAGAACCACAGGTGCAGCTCGCCCTGGACTTGAGAACTATCCCTGTCCCCTACAGGGAGACTCGCTCCAGAGCTTTCCTCTGGCAGGCCGCTGGAGACCCTAAGGAGAGGTGGGAAGGGAGGACCTTGAACCCTCCGCAGAGAAGTGTGGTGTGTGGGGGAGTTGAGTCTTGGGCCCTGAGAAGGGGCTGGTGGGGGTTAGTGGGCTGTGGCCCACGGTGGCAGGCACACCCCAGGACGCCCTGGCGGGGAGCCGTGTGCTGGCCCCGTGCGCCCCCTGGTGGCCTTCCTGTGTCCGACTGCACGGGCGCCTGGAAGGGGCCCACCACTAGCGTGGATGGAGGGCGACTGGGCCCCAGACTTCCCACACCCCGCCCCTCGAAGCCAGGGGTTTCATCCAGCCTAGCCCCACCTGGGACATCAAAGTGGCTTCAGTGCAGGCGGCACCCTGGCGCCCAGCCTTCTGTGCAGAAGAAGGAAAGCCAAGGAGACCGCTGGCCCTGAGGTAGACTAGGAAACTGAAGCCCCCAAAAGGGTCCAAGTCTCGGGCTCTCGCCCTGACACAGGCTGGGCTTTGGGGTCTTTGGGGCCCCCTGAGCAGCGGAGAAGCACGTCCTAAAAGCCAGCGCTTCTGGGCCCCTGCTCTGTGCCTGGCCACACTTGCTCCCCACCTTCAGAGCTGTGTCCCTCCACCCCACACATGCAGTGACCGACGAGGCCACATGGTGAGTGGGGGGTTGCGCCCTGCTCTGGGCCGCAGCAGCGGGGTCCCCCCCACCAGGTCCTCTCAGGGCTGCTGTCCTCCACACAGTGCAGGCCGTGGTGCCCACAGCTCAGGTTCTCAAGGCTTTCGGGCCCCAAGAGAGTTGAGACACCTGCCCAGTGTTGACCAAGGTCCGTCTGGCCCTTGACATTCACAGATGCTCCTACGGGGCCCCAGGTCCACTGTCTTACTGCGTGGTGCCTGGAAGGGGCCCACCACTAGCGTGGATAGAGCTGCCTTCTCCTGAGAGCTCAACACGTACATCTCGCTTAACCTTCACAATGATGCCACGAGGTACACATCTCATAGGCAAAGAAATGGAGGCTCAGAGAAGTGAGGGCATTTTCCAGCTGACAAGTGGCAGAGCCTGGTGTCCGGCCCGGGCTATGCACCTCTCCATTTGGCTGAAAATGGCCAAAAATTGTACTTCCCTTCTGAGCACTGGCACCCACCAGAACTCAGATGAGCCTGGCCTCCCTGGGCCACCCTGCCTTTGTGGAGTTGGCTGTCAGGCCAATCCCTTCCTTCCTCCTCCCAAGGCCCACAGCCCAACTTAATACAAATGTGTGGTGTGCATTTTGGTGGGGACTGTGTTGGTGGTGATGTGGGGAGGTGAAGGAGAGGGACCCCAGCACCTCCAGCCCCCCAGCCCATCTCTCCTGCTCCCCAGAGCTCATCTCTGCTGCCCCCAGCCCATCTCTCCTGCTCCCCAGAGCTCATCTCTGCTGCCCCCCACAGTTCTTCTGTAGCGGGGGCCTCATGCTTTCTTTCCCAGCCTACTCCCCTCTCCGCCAGCTGGTTTTCCCTTATGAGCCTCCAGCTTTACTTTCTTATGAGGAGTAACTTAGGTCTTTGCTGTTTTCCACCAGTGTATCTTCACTCCTCATTCCTTCCATCTCAGACACCGGAGGGGCAGACTCAAGTCAGCCCTGTGCTCTACATGGGTTCCAGATCCCCAGTATCCCTAAGCAAAATGAAATGACCGCTGCTTTATGCCATTGAATTTCAGAGTGGTTTGTTATGCAGCAACTGAAAATAGAAATACACATGGGGAGTGGCTAGAACAGCATGTGACCCATAATAAAGGCCATAAATATTTGCTCTTAAATGGATCCGTTATTATTAGTAGAGGGAATTTGTTTGCAGAGATGCATGGGCATGAGGGCATAGGAGAGGCCAGCTCAGTGGCTGCTCAGTCTTGCTTGAACCTCCTAACAGGACTGATTGGCTCAGCACCATCCAGTGTGGACAACCCTTTTGGCTGGCATTCAGGACAGCCACTTCATTGGCTGCTTCACCCCCTGCTCCACCTATCCATTTCAGCCTAGGTGAAGGGCCAGGGGTGTCCAGACCTGGGCACACTCCCAGCCTTCATGGGGGAGAGGACTCACCCCTTCCTGACCCTCTGCCTGGTCCCCTGCCGGCGGTACTCAGGGACTAGGAGATGATTTCATGCTCAGGTAGGGCTGCCAGAGCAAATACAGGATGCCCAGTTAAATTGAAAGTTCAGAGAAGCAACAAATAATGTTCCACTAGGGGGCATGATTATAGTAAGCAATTATGCTTCCGTTGCTAAATCCAGTAATCCTAGCCTAGCGCCCTCTAGCAGCCCTGCAGCTGGGCCTTTTCTGTGGGCCAGTTGGTTTCTAGCTCTTCACCCACTTGCTTGCTCCTTATGTGACCCTAGGAAGCAGGAGCTTACAGATGAAGAAACTGAGGCAGGAGACAAGTGAAACTGCCCAGGGTGTCCAGCTGCCAGTGGTAGGGCTACAGTTTGAATGGAAGAGGTTGGGGGCTGAACTGCCAGCATTCCACCACCCCTTGGGGTTTTGAGTTTGAGCCCCACTCTGGGTGTAGAGATTACTAAAATAAATAAATAAATAAATAAAAACAAATAAACTTTTAAGAAAGATGCTCAATGTTACTAATCATCAGGGAAATGCAAATCAAAACCACAATGAAATACCATTTCATACCTGTTAGGATGGCTGTTACTAGAAAAATAAAAGACAACAAGTGTTGGTAATGATGTGGAGAAACTGGAACCTTTGCACATTGTTTATGGGAACGCAAAATGTGCAGCCACTATGGAGAGCAGTATGGAGGTTACTTAAAAAAATTAAAAACAGAGCTATCGTTTGATCCAAAAATCCCCCTTCTGGCTTTTTATCTAAAATAATTGAAATCAAGGGCGCCTGGGCAGCTCAGTCAGTTAAGCGTCTGACTTTGGCTCGGGTCAAGATCCCAGGGTCCTGGGATCGAGTCCCGCATCGGGCTCCCTGCTCAGTGGGGAGTCCGCCTCTCCCTCTCCTTCTGCTGCTCCCCCTGCTTGTGCTCTCTCTGTCTCTGTCAAATAAATAAATAAAATCTTTAAAAAATAATAAAAAATAAAATAAATGACATCAGGATCTCAAAGAGATATTAGCACTTCCATGTGCCTTGCAGCACTATTCACAATAGCCAAGATATGGAAACAAACCAAATGTTTGTTGACAGATAAATGGATGAAGAATATTTGGTATATACAGTGGAATACTATCAGCCTTACGAAAGAAGGAAATCCCACAATATGAAACAGCATGGATGAACCTTGAGGACATTATGCTAAATGAAATAAGCCAGACTCAGAAAGACAAACACTGGATGATAACACTCATGAGTTATCCAAAATAGTCAAACTCATAGAAGCAAAGAGCAGAACGGTGGTTTCCAGGGACAGGGGGCAGGGAGGAACTGCTAATCAACTAGAACAGTTTGAGTTATGCAAGATGAATAAGTTCTAGAGAGCTGCTATACAATCTGTGCCCGTAGTTAACAATGCTATATGGTATACTTAAAAATCTGTTAAGAGGGCGCCTGGGTGGCTCAGCCGTTAAGCGTCTGCCTTCGGCTCAGGTCATGATCCCAGGGTCCTGGGATCGAGCCCCGCATCGGGCTCCCTGCTTGGCGGGAGGCCTGCTTCTCCCTCTCCCACTCCCCCTGCTTGTGTTCCTGCTCTCGCTATCTCTGTCTCTGTCAAAAAAAAAAAAAAATCTGTTAAGAGGGCGCCTGGGTGGCTCAGCCGTTAAGCGTCTGCCTTCGGCTCAGGTCATGATCCCAGGGTCCTGGGATCGAGCCCCGCATCGGGCTCCCTCCTCGAGGGGAAGCCTGCTTCTCCCTCTCCCACTCCTGCTGCTTGTGTCCCCTCTCTCGCTGTGTCTCTCTGTCAAATAAATAAATAAAATCTTTAAATTAAAAAAAAGATAAAATCGGGGCGCCTGGGTGGCTCAGTCGTTGAGCGTCTGCCTTCCGCTCAGGTCGTGACCCCAGCGTCCTGGGATCGAGCCCCGCATCGGGCTCCCTGCTTGGCGGGAGGCCTGCTTCTCCCTCTCCCACTCCCCCTGCTTGTGTTCCTGCTCTCGCTATCTCTGTCTCTGTCAAAAAAAAAAAAAAATCTGTTAAGAGGGTAGATCTCATGTTAAGTGTACTTACCACAATAAAAAAAAATTTAAAATTAAAAAAAATAATGCCACTACTCTGCTCAAAATCCTCCAGTGGAGAGACTGACGATGACATCGAATGTTTGTGAGGACATGGAGGGGCCGGAATGGTGACACTAATGGGAATGTTAAACAGCGCAACCACGATGGGAAAAAGTTTTACAGATTCCTAGAAAGTTAAACACACACTTACCATATAATCCAGCCATTCCAGTCCTGAGTATTTACCAAGGAGAAATTAAAGTGTATTTCCACACAGAATTATACGCAAACGTTTATAGCGGCTTTCTTTGTACAGCAAACACGGACAGCAGCACAGATGTCCATCAACAGGTGATAAACCAACTGTGGTCCATCCGCTCCGTGGGATCCTACTCAGCAATGAGAATAAGCTGCCACCTGACACCTGCCACAGATAGAGTCTCAAAATATTATTCTGAGTAAAAGAAGCCAAACAAAAGAAGAGTATGTACAATAAGATCCCATCTCTATAAAACTCTGGAATGCAGTGCAACACAGTGACCAAAAACAGATCTGTGGTTGCCTGGGGATAGAGATGGGGACAGGGAGGGCGGATTGCAAAAGGGCACAGGGCAACATTTGAGGATGATGGATAGGCTGACAATCTTAGTCAGTTTCTCAGGTGTATGCATATGTCAAAACTTATCAGATTGTACACTTATACATGTGTGGTTTTTTGTACGTCTGTTAGGCTTCAATAAAGCTTCCAAATGGCTCCTGTCTTGGCACAAATCAAAGCCAATGTGTTTACAAATACTACAGCTTTGCCCCTCACTTCACCTTTTACAGGTCTTCCACTTTTACCAAACTCTGGCCGCACCAGCCTGCTTTCGGTTCCGCGGGCACACTGGGCTCTTTCAGTTCCTCAAGGGCTTTGCACTTGTGGTTTCCCTCTGGATGCTTTTCCACAGCTCCTCTGTGCTTCTCACCTTCTTACCCTCTGGGTCTTAGCCTGAGCATGGTGTTCTCCTCCCCTGACCTTGTCCATTACTTTGTCACCCTGTTTATTTCTTCCTCAGTGCTCACCATATCTCTCATTAAATTGCACCTTTGCATACTGTCCATCTGGACGGCTCCTCAAGTGCTGTCTGGCTTCTCACCACCGTCACAGTACCCAAGTGCAGCAGACGCGGACTCCGTTCAGCAGTTGGTGCTTACACACCCGCCCGCTGAGCCCTTCTCCCTCTCAAGGCTGGAGCCTCTTCTCCTTCCTCAGTCCTTCTAACTAAGCACCTACTTTATGCAGGCACTGGTCTAGGCAAGAAGCGGTGAAGAAAGGAAACAAAACTCCTACCTATAGCCCTTGGTTTCTGGTGGGGGGAGGGGTGATGATGGAGACAGACAACAAGTAAAATTGTATGAGGCAGAGGACATCAGGCGGTGGTGAGGAATATGGAGAGAAACAAAGCAGGGGCAGAGCACACCTATAAAGCAGTAATAAAAGCAGCTGCTTCAGACACAGGCTTCTCCAACGTCCCCCTAACCCATCCTCTCCTGATCCTCCCCCTAAGCGGACTGTGCCTGTTTTCTCCTCTGTAAAATGGGATAGAATGACAGCACGTCCCTTGCTCACTGGCGGTGAAGACCACGGGCGGATGAGCACCAGCAGCTGCTGTCTGCACAGCGATTCCCTCTTCCCCTTTTTTCCCCTCAACCACTGGGCTTTTTATCTTTTCAAATTTTTTTAAAGATTTTATTTATTTATTTATTTGACAGAGAGAGACACACAGAGAGAGGGAACACAAGCAGGGGCAGTGGGAGAGGGAGAAGCAGGTCTCCTGCTGAGCAGGGAGCCCCACGTGGGACTCGATCCCACGACCCTGGGATCATGACCTGAGCCGAAGGCAGACGCTTAACGACTGAGCCACCCAGGCACCCACAATAAAAAAGAAATTAAATACCACAATTTTTTCTTTTCTTTAAAGATTTTATTTATTTTACGAGAGAGAGAGAGAGGCGGAGAGAGCACAAGCAGAGGGAGAAGCAGGCTCCCCACTAAGCGGGGAGCTGACGCGGGCCTCGATCCCAGGATCCCAGGATCACGACTGAAGCTGAAGGCAGACACTCAACCGACTGAGCCGCCCAGGCGTCCCAGCCATTTTTCCTCTTAAGTGTTGTGGTTTTTATTTAAACCATGGCTTCTATGCTTACAGAAAATGTAGAAAATGCAGTAGTCCGCCAGGCCGTCCTGAACAGCTGGGATGAAGCGTCACCCATTTCCCGGAGGGGGACGCGGAGGCCTCCAGGGCGCGAGGGCCGGGGCGCGCAGACGCTGGGGCCCCGGCTTGCCATGAGCCTCCGGGCCGCAGGTGGCAGCAGCGGGCGGCGGGGCTCGATACAATGTAGCGAGGGCAGCGGGGCGGGTTACAATGTAGCGAGGACGGCGGCGGTCAGGTGAGCGGCGGAGGGGGGAGTCTGGGCGGGCCAGGTGAGGGGCGGGGGTGCTGGCGGTGCAGAGAACCCGGACGCTCGACCCTCGGGGGCCGTCTGGGCCGCCGCGTCCCGGGGCGCGGGGAGTCCCCTCTCCCGAGGGCGCGGGGGCTGAGGAACCCGCCCAGGGTTCCGACCTGCCCGTCCTCCCTGGGGCGCTGGGGGCACAGGGGACCTGCGCTGCCTCCCACCCCGCTCGGGCAGGTTTATCAGCCCAGAGGGGAGCTCCTCCCTCCCCGCTCCCCGGGTGACACTGTCACCGCTTCCGGCCGTCCACACGCGCTGTCTGAAGGATCCGTGAGGCCCGCGGCAGCCCCCAGGGCTGGGCCACCCTCCGGGAATGCGGGGCCTCAGTTTCCTCCCCTAGGGCATGGATGGGCGTGGTGGAAGAGGCCCGCACCTACGCAGAGCGGGTTGGTGAGGGTCCCCAGAGGGTATGCTTGTTGTTGTTGTGAGGGAAGCTGCTGGAGGTATCTCTTAGGGGTGGCTCACTCCTGAGGCCGGCTGTGGCCACTGTGCCAGGCTTCAGTCAGTGGCAAATAACCCTCAAAGGGGCAGTAACTCTGCCCCTGCTCCCCGCAGGGTCCTGCCAGGCCTCCTTCCAGGTAGGAGAAAATAGGATGTACCTTCTCCCCTGTCCCCTCCAGGGAGAATTCTAGGGACCTCCAGTTGTGGCTGGGTGAGAACAGAACCTTTTTGGTGGCTGTGACCCATCAGGAGTGCACCTGAGCTTCAGCCCAGGACCTTTCAGTGCCTCATGAGCCCCTGGCTTTATTCTGAAGTTCCCTTGAATTGCTAAGTTGTCTCATCCTCCCCTCTCTTCCCCCGCCAGAGAAGGGAAGTCTCTAGAGGAGGGCAGAGGTGGGACCGTGGGTTTCCTTCATTCCTCTGAGTCTTCACCTTCCTGCCTGTTCTCCGGGACACCCAGCCTGAATCTGAGTGCGGGGCTCTCTGAGGGGTGAACCTGGTGGGGCAGTGGGGGGCGGGGCCAAGTTAGCTGCCCTGCACTGCAGCCCCTGGGCTTAAGTGTTGGGACCTCACTTGTCTGCCCTCAGAAGCCCAGAGGGAAGTATGATTCTCCAACTTGGCAGGAGAGAGACTGAGGCTGAGAGAGGTCAGATGACCATTTATTCATTCATCCATGGCCTCTACGCCAGGCCTGGAGCTGGCACTGCCCATAAGGAGGCAATTGAAAGATGCTTTTTCCAGGGGAGCTTCCAGCCCAGAGGAGAGCTGTTGGGAGGAGCAGAGGTGTCCCTGCCTTTAAGCACCCCTGGCCATAGTTTAAAATGCGGGGAGGTTTCCTTAGAGTTGGGCTGGTCATCATGTGATGACAGATACGGCTTGCTTAGCAACAGCTCTGGGCTATGGGCTCTCCTGACATATATAAGTATATACTTAGTCCTTCTACCCACCCCAGGAGGTAGGTATTCTTCCTTATTTGTGGGCAAGAAAATAGGATCACATAGCTCATCACTGGGAGACCCAGAATTTAAATCAGGGCTCTCTGATTTTTTTTTTTTTTTAAGATTTTATTTATTTATCTGACAGAGTGAGAGCACAAGCAGCGGGAGTGGCAGGCGGAGGGAGAGGGAGAAGCGGACTCCCTGCTCTGGGATCATGACCTGAGCCGAAGGCAGACGCTTAACCGACTGAGCCACCCAGGCTCCCCAGGGCTATCTGATCACATTCGTAACAATGATAATAGTAAGCTGTAGCTGGTATTTATCAGGTGCATACTGTGTGCTGGCCAGGATACTCGGAACTTTGCATTAACTAATTTAATCTTCATCATAACCCTGCATAGTGGGTACTATTATTTCCCCCATTTGAAACATGAGAAATCAAAAGCAAAGAAAGGTCTAGGCATTTGCCCAAGACCATACATGTCAGCTAGGAGCTGACAGATCTGGGATTTGAATAGCACCAATTCATTTTATCACCACAAGGCTCTTGGGGTGATCAGTCAGGATCTGTTTCAGATGTAGGAGATAGAAATCCTTCTCCCAGTAACAGTGGTTTAAACAGAAGTTTATTTCTGTCTCACTTGAATGAAGCCTGGGGTGAAGGAGCTCAGGACTTGTGGGTCAAACCCAAGGTGACTGCTCCAGCCCCACGCATTACATCTGCGTCCCAGGCGGCAAGAGGTAGGAAGGGCTGAAGAGGGGCAGTGCCTCCTTTTAAGAAAAATTCCCAAGAGATCTTTCTGTTTAAAATCCATTGGTCATAACATAGTTGCATGACCACATCTAACTATAGGGAGGTTGGGAAATTGCGACAAGCCAAAACTCCAGCTCCCCTCGCCCAGTCAAAGAAGAAAAAACAGACCTGGACTGTTGTTAAAATAGTAAGTGCAGACTTTATTGAAGACTCTTGCAGTAGGGGAAAAGAGACCTCGGTATGGAACTGAGTTCAACTCAGAATATAGCACAGGCAAGTGAGAGTTTACAGCCAAGGAGCAGGGTAAAATCAGTGGGTGGACACTTGCTGAGGGGAGACATCAGGGCTGAGTGGGGAGTCTGGCTAAACTGATCTGACAAGATCTCTGCTGAGGGCAGGCTGGGGTGATCACATGTCACCTGGGGGTGATAGCAGATTTGAGGGTGACCGGGTATCAGGGTGGGGGACTCTTGCTAAACTGATGTAGCAAGGTTCTTGCTAGAACTGGATTTTACAGGAGGAGCCCAGATGGCCTAGGAGAAGGTTCGGGAGCCTGACTACAGGCTAGTCAGGCAAAGAATCTTTGTCACCACTAGGAAAGATGGGGTGAGTGAGTCCTGGCACAGCTGGGTTTGCCCTGCACTCTGGGTGCTTCCCGGGACACTGCGACACCCATCATTTGGAGAGGCACTGGTCATCAGGGCCCAACCACCCTGAGTGAGCTGCCCAAAGCTGTCAGGTAATGAGAGAGAGGAGGCTTAGGCCCATAGCCCATGGCATCTGTGTCCTCTCCTGTGTTGACCCAGGTGCTGGGTTCTGCCAGACTGGAACTCCTCTAACCCACATCCCCACCACAGAGGCCAAACAGGTAGGACAGGTCCCACAGTTAGTGTGGGTGTTTCTGACCCAGATGCAGGGCAGCCAGCACTGGGCAGGGCTGGGGGTGACCCTTGTCATGGCTGTCCTGTCTGGGATCAGTTCTCTTTCTTTTGGAGGGGGTGCAGATAGGAGTCATAGGCTTATGTTTGATAATCACAAATTATGTTAGACTAAACAGGTACAGAGAAAGCATAACTAATACCTGGCACTTAAAGTGCTGCAAAGTGTTTTAAAAAAAATCTGATTTCCTATGAACTCGTGTCACCCTGGAAGCAGAGAGGCTAAGGAAGTGGGATGACCTGGGATGCAAACCACTGCCCCCAATCGAAGCCCCTATCTCCCTCTCAGGAGCCATCAGCCCTGTGTGTTCTGCCGCTCGCTGAGCTCTTGGGAGGGGAGAGCAGTGCCAGGTGGTGAACTAGGCATTTCCTAGTTCCTGGGATCCCGAGGTGTGGGGCCACTGACTCAGGCCACATAGAGCATGAGTGGGAATCCAGACCAGCGAGGTGCCACGCTGGCCTCCATGATGACTAACGAGCCGGCAGAGATGGAGAGCTCCTTGGGGCACCAGGAAGATGGGCCCTGCCCAAGGCCACGCTGCAGGTGGCAGAGGAGGCCTGGACCCTGGCATTGGCTCCAGAGTGTCCAGCACTGTGACCTCTGACAGTCACCACTGATGGTTCTGCTCAGGGGCTATGGCTTTGGGGTGCTCTGACAGAAAAGGAGTACCCCTGCTCGGGGCCAGAAGTAGAAAACTGAGTCCTGGGAGGTGTTGGCTCATGGGAGCCGCTAACCCTTTCCTTCGGAGCAGTGAGGGCACAGCTGGACTGGGGCTGAATGAGGACCCTGTGCTGGGAGGTAGGGGGCCTAGGTTCCCGCCTGGCTGGGTACTCTTGGGTAGGTCGTGTCCGTCTCCTACCTCTGTTCCATCTGCGTGCCCCGGGTGGGTTGCTGTTACCGAGGGGATGCTACCAGGGGGGACCTAGGTGAGGGGGCTGAGCTGGTTTGAGGAGGGACAGAGGATGGGCGGCCGTGGTGTGGGGATGTTCCACCTGGACCCTCCTGGCAGACTGAAGGAGGCCAGACATCCCCTCTGGAACCCCAGGAACTCAGGAAGGGGATGGGAATGCAGTGAGTCGAGGAGCTGGATGCTCTTCTCTGCCCTACCCTGCCCTGCAGGTGGGATGCTATGGAATATGATGAGAAGCTGGCCCGGTTCCGGCAGGCCCACCTCAACCCCTTCAACAAGGAGCCTGGGCCAAGGCAGCATGAGCAGAGGGCCAGGGAGGAGGCCCCAGAAGTCGCTTCTGAAGGTAGGTGCTTGGGGGAGGCCTGAGTGGGCAATCCGACCCCTCACTTGGGACCTCCATCCTCTCCTCCTAGTTCCGCCCATGGAGCATGCTGGCTTTCCCATGTAGCTGGGTCCCTTGCTGGCTACTTCCCCTTTCTCCTCAGCACAAACCACGTTCTGCCTGTTCTGTGGCCCCACTAGGACACACACTCCTGAGGGCAGGGATTTGTGACTGTCTTGTCACTGCTGCGTCGCTGGGCAGATACTCAGGGAATACTTAGGGAGGGAACTCAGAGCTGAGATCTGGTCAGGGAGAGGATGGAATGGCCTGGACAGAGGCCCAGCTCTTCTGGGGGTCAGGAGAGTGGGGCTCTAAGAGCTGCAGATGCAGTCAATAAGGGTATTCAGGGTGTGTGTGCGCATGCAGAAACCTCCTAGAGTCCACACAGGGGTCCGGAAATTCTGTTGTGCAACCGTCCAGCAGCCTTGAATCCATATACGCATATGTAAGGTATGCCTTAGAAATTGGGATGTTTCTGGGGCGTTGGGTGGCTCAGTCCATTGGGTGTCTGACTTGGGCTCAGGTCGTGATCCCAGAGTCCTAGGATCGAGCCCCGTGTGGGGAGTCTGCTTATGCCTCTTCCTCTCCCTCTGCCCCTTCCCCTGCTCGTGCTCTGTCTCAAATAAATAAAATATTAAAAAAGAGAGAGAGAGAAATTAGGATGTTTCTCTAATACTGTTTTGTGGACCTCTCAGCACCATGGGTATCCACCTCATCTTGGTTTCTTTCTTTTTTTTTTTTAATTTTATTTTTAGATTTTCCCCCCCCCACCTCATCTTTTTGGATGGCTCTCTCTTATTTATTTAGGATATGGGTTCCTTTGCACGTGCAAACAGGGCAGATACCAGGGCGGGGCCTGGCTCCCCTCAGCACCTCCTGTGGGCTTCTCCCGTCCCCAACCTACTTCTGGGGGAAAGGCAGGTTGATTTTTCTTTTCTTTTTTTTTTTTTTTAAAGATTTTATTTCTTTACTTTACAGAGAGAGCGAGAGAGCACAAGTAGGGGGAACAGTAGAGGGAGAGGGAGAAGCAGGCTCCTCGCCAAGCAGGGAGCCCGATGCGGGGCTCGATCCCAGGACCCCGGGATCATGACCTTAGCTGAAGGCAGATGCTCAACCATCTGAGCCACCCAGGCGCCCGGCAGGTTGATTTTTCTTTCTCTCTCTGCTGCCCTTCACACCTGTACCCACTGCAGAGGCCCTGCCTGAGCTGCCCCCTGGAGAGCCAGAGTTCTGCTGCACTGAGCGAGTGATGGATCTCGGCTTATCTGAGGACCACTTTTCCCGCCCTGTGGTAAGGTTTGGGCCTGGAGTGGGGAGGGGGACTGGGTGAGCCCCCAAGGAGGAGGAACCAGCCATTTCCTGTCACCACGTCCTCAGGCAGCAGGGCCAGCCCACCTTGGCTGGGGCTCCTGGGCCTTGAATCTGAGACCCACATGACAGCTGACTCTCATCTCCAAAACCTGTTTGGGAGCCAGGGAAGATCAGCCGAACTGGGGTTTGGGACCTGAAGCTGCTCTTCTTGTGTGGGGCCATCCGTCTCCCCATGTTCCCGGTTCCTGGGAGGCAGACATGAGGGTTGGCTCCATCTGGGTCCTGGGGGATCCTGTGGCTGTGCAGCAGGATGAGGGAAGGACCACAGGGCCACTCTCCTCTGTTCAACTTTTTTGTTCTGTGGAAGCTTTTTCTTTTTTTAACTAAAGGGCTCTAATAATCTATTTTAAAAAGTTTGAACATCTTTCAGTTTTATGCAAAGTATCTTCAACTTTTATTTGAGAGAAACATAGAAATATTCTAATGTAACTGAAATCAAAAAAGATTCACCCAGAAGCCCCCAGTTCTCATTTACTTGTCATTTTGTATTTGTATTTTGTGTCTTCATTAAAGAAATGTTTGAGCCCCTCCTAGGGGCCACACACTGAGCTTCCAGAGTAGGGTTGTCACCTCCTCTTTGCCTGGTCTCCTGGAGGTGGAGGGTGGCTCCTGAGGGCAGTTCTACCCTTTGCCTGGGGCGAGATCAGCCTCAGCTCCCCTGCTCAGACTTGAGCCTGGCTTCCTTCCCTATTGACAGCAGGGTCCCAAGCCCAGGGCCTTTGTTGGGCCCTGGCTCTGAGTCCTTGTGCGGTGCTGGTGCTAGGGGTGCGTGGGTGTCCGGGGAATCTCTGGGCTTGGTGATTAAGCTGGAGGCCACTTCCTCTCCTTCATGACAGGCAAATTGTCATTTCCCCAGCTTTCATCCAAGAGGAAGCTCTGTACAAGTAAGCAAAATAGCATAGCCAGAAAAGTGATTAGGTTTCTACAAGAAGGAAGTTGTGTTTTGAAAAACATCCTGAATTAGGTTTTCAGAGGCCTGTGAGTGGACAGGTCCAGCTGGCAGGCAGGGGGCATGGGGTGGTTCCTACCTGTGCTGGTAACTTTCCTGGGCCTTGAGCAAATCCTCGGCCCCTCCCTCTGGGCTTCAGTTTCTTCACTGAGGCAAGCGAGGAGCAGGGAGGTCTGCTCTGGGCTTGACCTCCACGTGGAGAGCATGCAGGGTAGGCATCTGATGCTGTCACCTGCCGTACCGCTCCCCCCAACCTGGGCAGGGTCTGTTCCTGGCTTCTGACATTCAGCAGCTGCGGCAGGCTATTGAGGAGTGCAAGCAGGTGATTCTGGAGCTTCCCGAGCAGTCGGAGAAGCAGAAGGACGCCGTTGTGAGGCTCATCCACCTCCGGCTGAAGCTCCAGGAGCTGAAGGTGGGTGCTGACGTACCCCACCATGGAGGCTACTGGAGCAATGTGAGAATGAAGTTCTAGAGGCTGGGGAGCTGAGGGACTGAGATAGAAAGCCACCCAGAAAGGTGGGGACAGAGGTGGGCCTTCACCCCATGTGCAGACTATTTCTCTATTAGTCTAATCTGGATTGGTCAGTCTTGGGCACACGCCCACCCACTGGCTCAAGTAAGTGAGGTCAGTCCCTCCTTGAACCTTATGACCTAGAGTGGGTGGGGGGCGATGGTGGCCTCCTGAGTGTTTCACGAAGGGGACAGCAGTAAGGGTAATGGATCCTAGAGGCCAAAACCTACAGGTGCACATTGGCTGTGTGTGCCCTTTAACTTGCTGCCACCGTGTCCCTGCACGGCTCATGCGTCCCTGGGAATTTAGAAAGCAGAGTATTCATTAGGGTGTAAGTAAGGCTGTGGTAACAAAGACACCCCAAAATACAGTGGCTTAAAGGAATGACATGTGAAATTTCACTCATGTGGAGATCCTGTAGGTGATCTAGGCCCATATGGCAGCTAATGGTGTTGGAGGTCCCAGGCCCTTTGTTTTTGTTGCTTTGTCAGTCCGTGTGGAGAATCCAGTATGGCCACATGTCCCCTCTGGGTCTGTACTCAGCAGGAAAAAATGGTGGGAGGGGAGAGAAAGCCTTATAACTCCTGCTCACACACCCTTGACCCTAACATCGTCCCAGAACAGCACCTGGGTGCAGGGAAAGTCAGTCTATTGTCTGGGCGGTCCAGGCCTGACTGATTACTGGGGAGTTCTATTTCTTTTTTTTTAAAGATTTTTTTTTTTAATTTATTTGAGAGAGAGAGAATGAGAGAGAGCAAGCACATGAGAGGGGGGAGGGTTAGAGAGAGAAGCAGGCTCCTCGCCGAGCAGGGAGCCCGATGCGGGACTTGATCCAGGGACTCCAGGATCATGACCTGAGCCAAAGGCAGTCGCTTAACCAACTGAGCCACCCAGGTGCCCCATGATTTTATTTATTTAAGAGAGA